GCTCATAGCTTAGTGAGACGGCTGCAAACTCCAGCCTGGGGATTTCTGCCCAGACTTCTGTCCTTGGGTGCAAGACGGACAATCCCCCAAAGAGAGAGAGAGAGAGAGAGAGGGAGAGAGAGAGAGAGAGAGAGAGAGAGAAAGAGAGCAGGCAGTTGTGGACCCTTGGTCCTTCTTGGGACAGTTCCTTCCTTGAATGCGGTGTTGGCCCTGCTGATCTTGGCTGCCTCGGTCATCCTGAGAGCTCTTTCTAGAACTGAAAACACTGTAGACCACCAAGGCGTACAGAAAGTTGCCAATACTGAACAGAGAGCTCATCTTTCCCTCTTGTTAACAACTTAAAAACAAACCGTGTGCTTGCTGCTTGGCTTGAAGATGGCTGCAGTTGTTGAGCTGCCAGAAGGCAGAACAGGCTCACTCATGGGTTGAAAGGAAAAGCAAAGGCCGCGATAGAGAAGCTGGCATGTTTGGTGAAGGGCTCCCGGAGGGCGCCCCTCGGACCCTGCTGCTTGGAGCTCTGGCCTAGGTTAGATGTGCCCATGAGTTAGTCCAGTGAAAGACAGGAGAAAGCTTCTGGAGGGGTCGGTCTGTCTGTCTTTCGTTTATTTATATTATTGGAAAGGCAGATCAGATTCACAGAAAGAAGAAGAGAAGAAAAGTCTTCCATCTGCTGATTCACTCCCCAAATGGACAAAAGGTAGACTTGGAAAGAGATCTCAACCATAGCGCGGTGAAATCAAACCACTCCTCAGAACTATCGAAACCACTCAAGTACCACCCTCAGAACACTCTTCCCCATGTGGGGGTCTCTAAGGTGTCAGCAAATGACTGTCCCCAATCCCTGGGTGCTGATGTGATTTAACAGCAAGGAGCAGCCCCCATCCCATACCCGCCCCCCCCCCGTGACCACAGGAGGAAAAAAAATAATCTGAAGCTTATGTCCCACCCCACCTTCCTTCATATCTGACCCTCCCCACCCTAATCAAAGGCCCACATGGGTGTGCATCTCTCAGTTATATAAACAATATTAATGGGCCCAGCGCAGTAGCCTAGGAGGGCTAAAGTCCTTGCCTTGCACGTGCTCAAATCCCATATGGATGCCGGTTCTAATCCTGGCTGCTCTACTTCCCATCCAGTTCCCTGCTTGTGGCTTGCGGGAGCAGTCGAGGATGACCCAAAGCCTTGGGTCCCTGCACCCGTGTAGGAGACCTGGAGAAGGCTCCTGGTTCCTGGCTTTGGATTGGCTCAGCAATGACCTTTGCAGCTGCTTGGGGAGTGAATGATTGAGTGGAAGATCTTCCTCCCTGTCACTCCTCCTCTCTGTGTATCTGACTTTGTGACCGAGGCTGTGCTAACAACACCTGCCATTTAAGGTCCCACAACACATCTGGATGGAAAACTGCAGGCAGGCAGAAGCTTCCGGGCTCCCAGATAAGTGTCTCTCCTATGTTGTCAGTGCTCTGGTGGCAAGGGTGCGTCTCTGCCCTCAGCCCCAGCATACCTCCAGATGCGTCTCCTTGATGGAGAAAATCTCTCCCAGTGTGGGTGGGTCACTTCCATCACCTGTCCCCAAGCCCAGGCTGGGTGCAGTGTTGGTGGTGGGAGGCTGGGGAGCCGGGGACAGCCTGTGTGTGGAGCCAGCCGAGGAAGGCCAGCAGGAGGGCTTCGGAGTGGACGTTAAACACATTTTCTGCTCAGGCCGTGGGTCCCCAGCCTGATCGTGGACATGTCTCCCCAGCCACTGCTTCTTTCTCCCTAGTCTGTTCTCCGTGGACCGCTGGCCTGATTTTTCTCAGATTGGGTTCTGTTCACGTCCAGGCCCATGGAATCGTGCAGTTCAGGCTCTCGCCCGGGTTCCTGCCCACACTGCTGTCTGTTCCTTCCCGCCTGAGTCAGCAGCCCTGGCTGGCCAGTGACCCTTGCTGGTTGGACACAGTTGCCTGCACACTCCCGCGTGCATTCTCTGTTAGCACCATTGCTGCCTCTGCTGTGTTCTCTGCCCCATTGCTGCTTCTCCTCTTGTCTCCCTGCGGGACTCCATCCATGCCTTCCTAGGTTCTGTTCTGGAACACACTGAGCACACGCTCCCGGCTATCATCTGCCTGCTTCCCTCTGGACGCTCTTGGGGAGTTGGGCCTCTCCGTTACGGAGCGGTACTTAGCCACTGTCAGGGTCTTTGTGTGTGTGTGTTCCGCCTCCTGGGTCTGTGGGGGTTGGGTGGAATGACAGAAGGGTGGGTCTTTGTGTCTCTAGTCGTCTGTATTCACACAGTTGGTAGCTTTGCAGCTCTGAATATTACACGTTTCCAAGTCAGATCGCATGGCATCGTATCAGTGTGAAATGTTAAGTGGTAATGTGGGGTTTTTATGATGTAATTATGTTAAATGGTGATCTCTAAACATGGCTTTTGTTGTACTATAGGGGTTTTGAGGTGCCATTTTTTAAACTGTGGTTAAAGAATTTTTTTTCTTTCAAGCCTTGCTTGTTAATCCTTTGTTATTCGGGACAGAATTCTAAAATTGTGATCTGTGTGTTGATTGTTACTGTCAGTTTCCACTTCAGTTGCATGATGGTAGAAAAACAAACCCAAATCAAAGCAAATTTAGAATTCTGCACGGTGGGACTCAGGTTGTGGACTAAAACAGGTGCAGGGAAGAAAAGCTGACCACCCATCCTGATGGGGACCTGTGATGCCATGCGGTCATGGTTACTGCCAGCGCGGCACACTGTGGAGAGGATGTATCTTTTTAAATTTTTTCTGTCATATGCCCAGAATATTGCCTTCCCAATGAAGAACTGATGTTTTAGATGACTTTGTAACTGAACAATAACAACAGCAAAAACATTGGGGATGTCTGATATATGCAACGGTTTACTAAAAACCATAAAGAATAGTTTGAGACAAAGAACGAGAGAGAGGGGGGTCTTCCATCTGCTGGTTATTTCCCACATGGCTGCACTCAAAGCCAGGGCTGGGCCAGGCCGAGGCCAGGAGCCAGGAACTCCAATCAGGTCTTTCCCACGGTGGCAGGGACTCAAGTACTTGGGCCGTTTTCCGCCTTCTCAGGGACATCAGTAAGGGGACTTGGTTGGGAATTAAAGCAGCTGGGACTCCGATCCAGTGTTCTGACATCATGCGAGGGCTTCCTAAGCGTCTACACCAACACCCTTCCCAGGCTTAGAAAATACTGCAAGGTGGCAGAGGCAGACACTGGCCTATTTCTGTTCAAGGTTGTATACCTTGTATCAATTTTCTCAGACTTCCCGTGCCCAGCTATGACAAGTTATGCCTCTTGTCTGGTGTTCTAGTTAACGTCTCTTGAATAGCACACCACGCAGATGGAGTTCTGGTCTCATACAACGCCATTGGCCGGACACGTGTGTCCCTGAGTTGTCGGATGAGGTTGGTCCCGCTGGGCGCACTCAGGAGTGCAGCAGCTGCAGGCTAACTGGGCGGCGTGGATGCTGGGAGCTGGCTGGTTGTCACATGAGGGGGTGTCTGGGCCACTGCACAAACTGGCGGGGGACGCTTGCTCACAGCGCAGCGGCAGGCTCTCCAGGCAGTGAGAGCACACAGGGGTCCTTAAAGCCAAGCAAAGGCTGGCTCCTGGGGGGTGCTGGGCCTTGTGCTTTGGGGTGCTGGTTAGTATGTCCCATGACAGGACCCCTGGGCTTGGTTCCTGGCTCCGCTGCTGGCTGCAGCCCCCTGCTGAGGCAGATCCTGGCAGGCAGCAGGGGGCGACTCAAGAAGCTGGGTTCTTGGCGCCTACTGGGACACCTGGGCTGAGCTCCTGGTCCCTGGCTAATGCAGGTATTCAGGGCTGTCAACTGGCTGACAAAACAGATGTCTTCTTGTGCCTTAGATAAAGGGTACATTTAAGCAAGGCTCCGTGTGATTCACTGATGGATAAAGAGATGAGGAAACTCCTTTTCAGGCCAAAAGAGACTGCAAAGCCAAGGGCAGGGGCACCAGGATCATGGCCACCATCGTGGTGTGTGTGTGTGTGTGTGCGTGCGCGCATCTGTACTGTGTGCCTAGGCGCATGATGTGCCTGTATGCATGTGCGTATAGCCATGTCTGTATGTTTATTTGTGTGGATGTGCGTATGTGTGCACATGTATATCATGTTTATATGTGCTCATACGTGCATGTATGTAGCTTACGTGTGTATTCGGCCCACGCATGCTTGTGTAATGTGTTGATGTTTATCACACATTTTGTGTACGTGTCTCATGTGTGTTGTACATGTGTGAATACACATTTGTTTCCATGCGTGCCCGTGTGCACGTGTGTTTGTGTGTGTTTGTGTGTGAATGTGTTTGCATGTTTGTGTACGTGTGCATGGGTACAGGTGTGTATGTTTATGTGTGTGTGAATGTGTGTGTGTTCCCAGCACCTGGTGGGTAGAGAGTAGGGCTGCTGCTCACCGTGTGACACTGACTGGCACTGCCCCACTGCAGGGTGACCTGCATTCCTGCTCTCCTGTGCCTCCGTCGAGGGCCTGTCCTTCAGAGCTGCTCACAGAGACCCCCCACCCCCCTTCTAAGCAGGCCAGGGCCAAGGCAGGTTGGTGAGGACACAGGGCCCGGGCGGCCCCACGCGGAAGCTGTGGCCTCTCGGAGTCTTTCCAGGTGTCCCTGAAGTGCCTGCCCTGACTGCGTGGACAGTCATTTATATCCAGCGCTGCTGGTGGTGGATGGTCCCTGCCGTTCCTGCCTCGTGCTGGAATCGACCGTGGGCCCAGGCGTTGGCCGCACGGTGTGTTTCTGGAGGCCCTGCTGGCCTCCCCTGGCCTCTGCCTGCCTTGGGGCACCCCGGGCAGTTGGAGCCCACCCAGCTCAGGCAGAACCGGTGTCTCATGGGCCCCTCAAGTGCATCGACACTCCCTCTTCCAAAAACCCCAGCAAGTCGAGCCTGAGGTCTTTGTGTTGTTTTTGCTAAGTCAGAATTGTGACAAGGACTTACTGAACGTGGCGCCTGCTTGTGTTTGTTCCTGCAGCTGTTCAGTGAGAAAATCAGCGGCACCGAAGGAACCAAGTTGGATGACGAATTTCTTGACATGGAAAGGGTAAGAGCGTTTTCCTGTGTTCGTTGCATCAGAAATCGGCTGTCAGCGTGATAGGAGGCATGCTGCTGCTGTGAAGGCCTTTTGGGGGTGCCTTGCAGAATCCACACAGGAGCACACGTTATCACGGGTTGGGGGTGGGAGGGTTGTCCTGGAAAGATCCACACGTGCTCAACTCCCTGGGAGGAAGTGGCGTAGTGTTTTCTGGAAGCCATGCGATCATTCCATGAATTTTAAATCACCTCTTCGTTAAAGTATGCAACACTACCAATGACATGTTCCAGCAGCAATGCAAGAAGTGGCTGTGCATGTCCAGACAGACAGCTAGACATAGGCATATAATTTGGTGTATATGTATATGTATATACATAAATATATATATATATTTTTTTTGACTCACTGTTGGTCCAATCCTGGCCAGGATCTGCAGCTGCATCCCATCTTGGTAGTTTAAGAAAATGGAATATGGCTAGCTGGCGCCCTCTAGTGGCTGCATGTCAGACTATGCCCACGTGGGACAACCTGAGCCAGATGACTTGCAAGGCCAGTATAAAGGCAACATCCACAGGTGTTTCAAAGAAAAGACCCTTGGGTCTGTCCCAGGCGACCCAGCATGCTCAACACTGTGACTCTGGACCCGTGCTTTTTACCAGCTTCCAAGCAAGTAGCTTGTACACTGTTTTGCCATTGGAACTAGTGGCATGAGTTTGTAGAAACTATGTTGAACCAAGTATTGAGAGAACATCGAAAAAGACCACTGGCTTGGTAGAGATGTGGTTCTAACACGATCCATGGCAGGGCTGCCAGACACCTCAGCAGCTCTCTGTGTGTCCTGCATGGCGTGGGTATGGCTTTAAGGTAGGAGCAGAACTGGATCCGCCTGCCGTCACCACCATTTCTGTCCTTGGACTGGAGCAGGAGCTGGAGCAAAGTCTGTGAGGTGTCAGGGAGGCCACAGGAAGGAGCAGGCAGGGGAGACGTTGGCAGATGTCGAGCCGCAGGCTGTGGGCCTGGAGTGGATGGGGAACTTTCAAAGTGTGTGCTAAAATGGAATAGGTTCAGCTTGTGGTGGTGAAGTTGTGAAATCCGACTTAATCTGGACTCTCCATGAACTTGATTGAAGAACCTCCCCCCACACACACTTTTTACAGAGTCTGCGCTCTGAGTAAAGCCGTCCTTTGGGAATAAGCAGCTGGGTGGCTGAATCTGTCTTTGCTTTTGCAAACAGACTTGCTTATTTCTGAAAACTTGGTAACCGAGGAAAGGCATTTTGTGTAGCTAGAGCCTTCCAAACCAGAGGACTCAGTGACAGAGTCGGGTTGGAAGCCATATTTCTGGAATTTTCCTTGTACCGGGTTCCTCACCTCCTCCCCCCTCCAGGCATCTCATGGAGTAGCAGGAGAGAGACAGAATAATCTTTGACGGCTTTTGTGATAGTGAAGAACTTGGAAACATGTGATGCTTGACCCTGTGTTTTAAGAACTTTCTGGAAGAAATACATCTGAGGCTACCAAATTCACCCCAAACAAGAAGCAGAAATGACCAAGTAAAAAATATTCTGTGGTGGGCCTGGTTCAGCAGCTTGGTGGCTAGAGTCCTCGCCTTGCACACGCTGGGATCCCATACAGGCGCTGGTTCCTATCCCATCAGCCCCACTTCCCATCCAGCTCCCTGCCTGTGGCCTGGGAAAGCAGCAGAGGACGGCCCAAAGCCTTGGGATTCTGCACCCATTTGGGAGACTCAGAGAGAAGCTCCTGACTCCTGGCTTCAGATTGGCTCAGCTCCGGCCATTGTGGCCACCTGGGGAGTGAATCATTGGATGGAAGGTCTTTGTCTCTCTGTGTATCTGACTTTCCAACAAAAATAAATAAATCTTTAAAAAATATTCTGTGGTGAATGCTAGCTACAGAGGTGCAACAAATAGGTACATCCATGGTAAAGTTCATGTTAATTTAAATTTCATGTTAATAAAATCACTAAATGGATGACAACCTAAAATAGATATTAAATGATGCGGGCAACACAGACTGCAATATAGTATTTGTGAGCCACTTTGCACTACACAACATGGTATCTATGTTTGCAAGGTGAAAGCAGTCAGAAATACATGGAGCACTGACCCGAGGCAAATGCTTCGATAACCTTTCCATAGAACAACAAATCAATGAGCGGTCAGCAACAGGCCCATTCGTGGAGGGGTTGTACAAAATGCAGTAAGTAGCTTTGATTGCAGCTCAGGGTAGCCCTCTGCATTCACTCTCCAGATTAGAGCACACCTTTTTTCCAGTTTCGTTTGGAATGGTTGTAATAATCATGAACCAGGCAGCAGGGGAAACACATCGATAGCATACCCCAACTAGGACAACAGAGCGTGGGAAGTACAAGGAAGGCGTGCTTTCTGGATTCCAGACATGTGGAAACGTAAAAACGTTAAAAAGTTATATTTAAATGATCTATTTATTATTTATATATGTATTAAAAGAGATGGAGACATAGAGAGGATGTACCATTCTGTGGTTCATTTCCCAAATGACCACGCCAGTGGAGCCAGGCTGAAGCCAGGAGCCAGGAACTCTGTCCAGGTCTCCCATGCGGGTGGCAGGAAGCGAGCAGTTGGAGCATATCCGAGTGTCCCCAGGCACCTCGGCAAGAAGTTGGATCAGAAACCGAGCAGCCAGGATTCACCCCCCTCTCTGACACGGGACACTGGCATCTTTGCAAGCAGAGGCTTAACCGACTGCGTTAAACAGCTGACCCTAAAAAAATCTGTGAAACCATTGTCGGTTTAAAGGTGGAAATAAAAAGTAAAATCCCAGATGATTTTGTCGTGTGACACAGAATTATTAGTGTCAAAACCTGCGATCCATAGCTAAATCTTAGCATGCATTTAATAGAAAATAGATGTTGAGGCAAAATGAAGCATGTAATGTAAGAAGCTAGAAATAACAAATGAGGTCACTGGGTAGAGTGTGGAGGGCAGCACAGATGAGAGAGTTTAATAAGGAGACCCCCAGACACAGAGAAAATACACACGCATACATAATCATACACATGCACACACCCATAACACACACATAGCATACATACACACACACACACAGTGCTCTCCAAGTAGATCAGCATTTGTTGTTTGTCTCCTTGTGTTAAATCCTTAGGGGCTATTTTCTCAATGCTTTATCTGGCTGCCTTTCTTGGCTAACGCATTCCGTGGGCGCCCTCTTTGATTGGCCAAAGTTGATCTCTGGTTTTGATGCCTGTCTGTCCCAGGAGGCACTGGCAAAGTCTTTGATCCCATGATTCATTTTGTTCCCCTGGAAGTTGTAAAAAGACCAGCAGAAGATCCTTCCCTCAGCATTTCTGGGTGTCCATCAGAGGGAGTGCTTGAAGTTGCATTTTAATGAGCTCAGAGCATCTCGAAAAGTATGTGGACAATGGAATTAGGAGACACGTTTATTTCAGTGCAAGAATGTGGGAATTCAAGCATAGGAGAGGTCTTTAAAAGAATTTCTAAGAAATACGCATTACAAGAAACTGATGCATGTACTTCCAAAGGTTTTGAAAGCGAAAGAAAATTTTCATTTCCCCCTTTAAAAAGTGTATATATATATGTATGGAAGGCAGAGTTGAGAGAGAGAGAGAGAATCTTGCATCTGCTGGTTTACTTTCCGAATAGCCACAACGGGTAGTAAACACTGGAGGTTGGGCCAGGCTGAAGCCAGGAGCCAGAAGCTCCACCTGAGGGTCTCATGTGGGTGACAGGTTCCCTGTCTATTTGTGAAGTGTCCCGTGAGCTGGGACAGAAGAGGGAAGGGAAAGCCCCTCCTGAGAGAGCCAGAAGGTGGGGGGCCTCTGGAAAGGAGAGAGGGAGAGACACCAAAGCTTTGAGGAAGGGCCCTGGGGGTTTTAAGCTTTCCCTGACCCATCCTTGTTGGGCAGGAACCTACAGATGTAAGGTTCCCCATTGGTGGTCTCTTAGCCAGTTAGGAAGTGGCTGGACAATGCTTGTACCACCCACCGGAAGGCGTGGCCAAGACTCCGCGGAACTGTCTCAGAACCCAGCCTTTGGGCCTCCCTCTGCTGCTCCCCCATGTGTGTCAGTGGGGCACTGGATTGGAAGTGGCACAGCCAGGACTTGAATCTGTCCTCTCGGGGACACTGGCACTCAGGTGGCAGCCACCACCCAGCTCCTTCATTCCATTTTACTACGTGAAATTTTACTACGTCTAAATTGTTAAAATTGTAAATATAACAATTCTCTGATTCTCATTTACAAATCTTAGTGGTTTGGGTTAAAAATAAAACAGAAGTTATCTTTTTCCCTTTTACTTCATCTTTATTTAAGATGCCCTTGACTCATACATTGAACAGATTTCATCTTTAGGTATTTACAATTGGTTTCATCGTTAAGCAAATTCTCTCGGCCAGTTCAGGTTGCACTGGGGTTCCTTCAAACTTCCTGTCGACCTCAAGGAATGAATTTCCTATCTGCCTACATTTCTGATAGTGCTAATAAAACATGAATATTTTAGTTATTAAATTCTCTTAAGTGTCACAAAGCTCTTCATATGCAACTGAATGCATTAAAGAGCTCAGAGTTTATGCAACTTGTCGCCCTGTCAGACACACATGTACACACATGCGACCACGCCTGTGCACACACAAGAACAGACATGTACATTCATCTGCACACCACACTGCTGTGCATAATAGAGGTTTGATTCATTTCTTAGCATCCTTTTTTTTTAAACCAACACTTTCCTGGGCTCCAAATTGAGCCAGTGTACTAAGGGGAACAAATACAATTTCCAACTGCGTGAGATTGCTGGGATGGCCACACGTGACCCTGACCATGGGTGTTCAGAGCACAGAAATATTTGTTTTCAATGATAGGTTACTGTGCAGCAGTGGGCATGGTGCATAGAAACCCTTCTGAGCTTTGTCTCATCTTTATGAGGGGTTGGGATGCGGAGGTTTGGGGGTAGGAAGGTGAGGGGTGTGGGGGTGGGGCCAGGGGACTGGGGAGGTGGCGAGTCCTCCTTTGACCACGGTTTGGGGTGTTGCCAGTGTTTAATACCATGGAGAGCGGTCTGATCCACACAGTGCTGCATCTGGGCTGTGTCCCCGTGATAAACTCCTGCACCTGTTATGTGTGGGATGAGCCTTCATTCCACACTGCTCTCACGCCAGTTATTGCGTAGAATCTATGTACAGCCTTTTTTTTTTTTTTTGGTCAATCTAATACATCAGATGTGTTTCCTTTGGAGGTATAGTTCTTCTGAATATTTTGTCAAATGTTTGTAGGCGGCTTGTATTGTCCCCTGTTTATGGATTGCCACTTAATGGTGTAGTTGGATTTAATTTTTTTTTAATTTGAAACAATGGAAGTTTGTGTTATTTGAGAGGAGGGAAGCGGGACGTGCCCATTTGCTGGTCCACTCTCCAGATGCCTCTGTGTGTGTGTGTGTGTGTGTGTGTGTGTGTGTGTGTGTGTGTGTTTTAAGGAAGGCAGTCAGAGAGAGAGAGAGAGAGAGAGAGAGAGAGATCTTCCACCTGGTGGTTTGCTCCCCTAATGCCCACAGCAGGCAGGCTCGGGCTCTGTTAGGAGCTGAAACTCTGTCCGGGTCTCTTACTCGAGTATCAGGGGCCCATGCGTTGGTGCCATCATCCAGGGACTTTGCAGCAGGCAGCTGGCCCGCAAGCAGAGGAGCCAGGTCCCCAACCTGGTGCTCTGATATGACATGCTGGTGTCCCTAAGTAGCAACCTCACCGATTCTGCCACACTGCTGGCCCATTTTTTTAAAATTATTATTTTTAAAACTTAAACATGTTTATTGATCAGAAAGAGTTTCTGGGGTGAGGATGGTGGTGGTGGGGTTGATAGAGATCTTCCAACCACTGGTTCATTCCCCGAAAAGCTCCAATAGGCAGAGCATCAACAGATCCCAGGTAGGAGCCAGCAACTACTTCCAGGTCTCCCACGTGCATGACAGGTGCCCCAGGCACGTTGGCCACCCTTAGCTGCTTTTCCAGACACATTAGCAGGGAGCTGGTTGGAAGTGGAGCAGCCGGGACTTGAACTGGTGGCCACAGGGGCTGATGCTGGTGGTGTAACATGCCGTGCCACAGCAGGACCCCCCTGTTTGTTTGTTTAGTGGGATTTGGACGCCAGTGCTGGGTTCTTCATAGATCCCACTGCTTGTCACTTGATTGGACTTGACATGTTGTGTCTTGCAACAGCTTTAGTTTTTGATTTTGATGGAGTCTGAATTTGGATCTTTGTGTGGATGACACCATGGCTTTGGGATGAGGGCTAGAAGTTTCTTCCCATCTCGGTGTTTCACAGGATTCTCTATACTCAGCACTTTCCTAGTCGGTTTCAAAGGCCATTTTTCTTCCACCTTGTATATTGAATATCAATTTGCTAAGTGTTAGAGAGAGAGAGAAAAAAACTGAGTTGGTGATGATATTTGCATTAATTTTCCGTGCCAGCTTAGATAGAGTTTGTATCTTTGCAAAGCTGAGTTTTTTTTTTTCCTTCCAGGAATGTGTTTTTGTTTTTTTCCTAGAGGGGTTGTAAATTTGCTGTATTGAGGGGGATCCCCTTTTCTGCTATCTTTTCTTTGGGGCTCCTGCTGTTGCCCAGCACTGCACGCTTGCCTCGGTGTACCTTCCCACATCTTCTGGTCATCTGCTCTGGTTATTGAATCATCAAAAGCTGCGGGGTTGGTCTTGTGGGAGGGAAGACTGAGCTAACATCTTCCACTGATGGCACAGCTGAATGGGCTTGCGTTATTATCATGTAAATGGTGATTTACTTGTTTTTGGCGATGAGTAAAATTTCTAATATCAATGATTCCTGTGGCTTCCTTAATTTGTATGGAAATTCAAGTTCACCCAGAAGAGGAAGTTTGGTTTCTAGACTCCCTTTTGAAAGATCTATAAGAATTCAAAGAAGCATGGAAACATTCCCCTGTTCTCCAACTACTGCGTCAAGATTCATTTGCGTGTCATAAGAGAAACCAACCTGTGTGTACAGCATCTTTGGGAGACAGCCACACCCCAAAATATTGACTCCCTTCCCTGCCCAAAAATGTTTCAAAGGAGTATGCAAATTAAAAACATCCTGATGGCTTTTTAAGCGTTAACCAAATGAAGTTTACACTTGTCTGTGAATTGACCGAGTTTGATATTTAACATCCTGCTTTGTGTCTGTTTTGTTTTTAAGAAAATAGACGTAACCAATAAGGCTGTCACGGAAATTCTTTCCAAAGCCACCGAATATCTTCAGCCAAATCCAGGTAAAGTTAGAAAATGGAAGTTTTCTGTTATCTGTTGACTCTCCCTGACTGTAGGAGCCCGCACTGCCTTGGCATTGGGTTGAAGGGGCCTCTGTATGGCGCATGATGGTGTTAAGGACTGAGGCTGCCAGGGCCATGGCAGGTGCACTCTGTGGGTGCGAAGCAGACAGGCACTTCTGTTGCCACCCATCGTTTGGGTGCAGTTCTGGGCTGAGTTGCCATCAGTTCTGTTAAGTTTTCCTGTTAGTTGAAAAAGGCAGAGACAAGGGAGAAGCTTTCCATCTGGTATTTATTTGAGAGAGTTGGGAGAGAGAGAGAGAATCTGCTGGTTCACTCGCAAAAAGACTGTAATGATCAGGGCTGGACCAGGTTGAAACTAGGAGCCAGGAGCTTCATGCGAGTCTCTTACATGTGTGGAAGGAACCCAAGCACTGGGGCCATCCTCTGCTGCTTCCCAAATGCATGAACAGGGAGTCGGGAGCTGTCAGGACCAAACCGGTGTTCCTGTGGGATGCCAGCATTCCGGTGTCAGCTTTACTTGCTCTGTCGCGACACCAGCCCCCTGTTACTCCACACTTTTGTAAATGTTCTTCTACTTGGTTATTTCCTCCTGAGAAAAATAAATACTGTCCATTTTAGAGACATACGTTAATGCAAAGGGGCGTTGACTTGGTGGCTGCCATGCCAAGGAAATGTGAAGGAGAAGGGTTCAGGAGCCAGTTTCATTGATGAGGGGTTCTCGGGTGGTCCATCATAGAGACCGCCAGAGGGCGCACGAGCCTCGAGTCTCAGGATACAGTGTTCTAGTGCAGTTACTGCTGCAGCCTTGGCTGTGAGATGCAGCTCAGACCCCAGCCCTCTGAACACCCAGGAAGGAGAACACTGCGGGATACGTTGGGGAATACTTTAATTCCACGAGGAAAGGAGAAATTAATTCCGGGCAAAAATTGAAATGCATGCAGTTTTTTTTTTTTAACAGTATGCAGTTTATGTGGCATTCATGGATTTAAAATTGTTTTGCACCAAAATAAAGTTGTTGGTTTTTTTTTTTTTACACTTTATTGCCATAAACTTTGGAAGTATCTTCAGAGATCCTGAGGGCTGGGTACAAGGCGCTTTTAGCGCATGGTCTTGCTTTAGCAGCCCTAATGTTGTGTCTCCTTGGCTCCATCGCTGGTTGAGAGGCACCGCACACGTTCCTCATAGCACTTTACCAGTCAAGAAATGTGTGAAAAAAGCAATTATTTGAAAAGCAGAAAAAGAGAGAGCAAATGAGCGCAACAGTTGCAGCCTGACCAAGCTAAACCAGGGAGCCAGACTCCATGCAGGCGTCCCAAGAGGGCCTCCCAGGATGGGAAGCTGGGGTCCGGGCAGTTACTACATCAATGCAGGCACTCTTATGTGGGATGCTGGTAACCCAGGCGGTGCCTTGTGGCCAAGCCAAATGCCCAACCTCTTAGTCAATGCAAAGTTGGCAGGTGTGTTCTCTATAGTGGAAGCTTCCAGGGAATGCTGGCACCCTCTGAGTCAAACATTGACCTTGTGCTAAAGATCTGACGTTTGCATGGGGCTTTGGAGGTGATGGCCTACAGTGATGGTCCCCACACGAGAGTATGGGAAATGTGGCAGCCTCCAGGCAGTTGAAAGGCCCTCACTCATATTCTCTCAGATAGTGGGAGAGGGGAAGGAGTGTGTGTGTGTGTGTGTGTGTGTGCACGCGCACGCGCGAAAGAGAGAGAGAGAGATTAATATAAGGCTCCTCCAAGACTGGCAGAATTTGACTGTATGTTTTTACAAGATCTTTGGGTTATTTGCATGGGCTTAAAGTTTAGGAAGCTTTTGTCTGGAATGCATTAGGAATTAGTGTGTAATGAATAAAGGAGACAGAATCTTTGCCCCTGGAGGAGCTAAGATGATGTCAGGTGAGGCTCATTCTGTGAGCAGCCCTGGGCTGCTCAGATCCGGCTTCAGTTACAGGTGCTAAGGTTTCTGGGTGGTGCCACCCTGACGATCGTGTGAGCAGATTAAATGGGACGCACACACACACGCATGCACGCACACTCTCACTCAGGTCTCTGGCATTTTGTCCAAGGGGACCTGCATTTTGGCAGCTCTGTTTGTTCAATGCTTTGTACCCTGTCACTGCACCTTGTGACTTTAAGGAATTACCAATGACAACGTTTTCAAGCATACAGAGCTAAGCTGGGGATGCTGAACACCGTGTCGAAGATCCGAGGGCAGGTGAAGACCACCGGCTACCCGCAGACCGAGGGCCTGCTGGGCGACTGTATGCTCAAGTACGGCAAGGAGCTGGGTGACGACTCCACCTTCGGTGAGTGCTCCCCCTGCTGCTGGGGGCAGGTGATGCGCCAGCCTTAACATTAAGCAACATTATTATCCGTTTTTTTTTTTTTTTTCTCAAAATAATGGATACGGAGACATCTTCAATAGCGTCGGTTGGAAAGGATGAAAATTATGAAAACATTGTGTGTATCTCAAAGACTTTTTCTGACTGCAGCTAGCTAACTTCCCTTTACATTCCAGTTTTTTTCCCCCCTCACATTTTGTTTGTTTACAATTGCAAGGGGATCAGGAACACAGGCGAGCTGGCACAGACACGGGCCCCACTCCAGGTGGGATCCTGTCTCCACTGAACGCCCAGCAGCGAGCCTGTGTGTGGTGTGGTCTTGATTGAGCTTTACCGCTTTACACCTGTTTTCTTTTGTAGTGTAACGAGGGGGCTTCAGAAAGGAAAGGAAAAGAGATGGAGTGCAAGGAGGTGTTTATTTGCATGAGGCCCATGATTTCTGAAAGCCAGCCTAGTTCTCCCGTCTACACGTCCCCATGAGCCCTCACCTGTTTGGGTTGCCATGGTTTTCTGTACCAAGATAATCCTTCGACTCCATTTTCCACGATTGCTTTGAGTCGCCTTGTTATGCCTTTCTGTGATTGTTTCTCACTGACTATATCATGATCATTCCATAAAAAATTAACCTGGGCCCGGCATGGTAGCCTAGCAGCTAAAAGTCCTCACCTTGCAAGTGGCCAGGATCCCATATGGGCACCGGTTTTTAATCCCTGCAGCCCTGTTTCCCATCCAGCTCCCTGCCTGTGCCCTGGGAAAGCAGTCGAGGACGGCCCAAGGCCTTGGGACCTTGCACCCGCATGGGAGACCTGGAGGAAGTTTCTGGCTCCTAGCTTGTGATTGGCACAGCACAGGCCGTTGCGCTCACTTGGGGAGTGAATCATTGGATGGAAAATCTTCCTCTCTGTCTCTTCTCCTCTTTGTATATCTGCCTTTCCAATAAAAATAAGGGGTTTTAAAAGAATTAACCTTTAATAACATGATGTTGTAATAACATAATGTTGTTATACTCTCTCTATATATATAGAGAGAGTTTTCTTCTGGTTTTGGATGTGCAGTCTTTTTCATTCCTATTACCTACTATACTATATTATTTATCTTGCAATTATCAGCAAGATGGACAGAGAGGGGATGTGATGGAAGGACCTAAGCTCTCATCCTCTGGTTCATCCCCCAGATGCCCTCAGCAGCCAGGGCTGGGCCAGGTCCACAGCCTGCACCTGGGGGCCCAGTCAGGAGCTCCCAGGTGGGGCGCAGGGGCGCAGGGGCGCAGGTTCTGGGGCTGTCACCGCTGCTCCCCAGCTGTGCGTTAGCAGGGAACTGGAGTCGGGAGCTACGAGGTGGACATTGCACCCAGGTCCTCTGCTCTGGAGCCACAGGCCGACACCTGCTCCACCAAGTGCGCTGGAGTCAGACTGCCCCCAGTGGTTTCACGGCAAACATCTCCTGGACATAGGTGCCCGTGAAACTCGTCCCTTTGGAATCCTTTTTATTGAAGAAAAGAACAGTCATGAAATCTTCATTGATAATGCCTTAATAAAGTGGGAGTGAATTAAATATGACAACATGAAAAGTTCCAGGAAAATAAGGCATGTTTGATATTTAGGTCCTGGTACCAAGGCAGGATATAGAAATTGGGAAATTAATATTTGGCTACACTAGTTATTCTGGGAAGCTGGGGGGAGGGGAATATTTTTTGAAAGCTTATATATATAATATATATATATATTTAAGCCAAATATTCTATTTTCTTGTAGGTCAGCAACAAATTTTCAGACAGGCAATTCATGACCATAGCAATATCACCATTGTAGTAACTGTTTTGTAACCGAATTATTGTTAGCAAAACACCGTTTTTTAAAAACTTGCAGACCCTGCAGGACGATTTCTGGGACCTCCGGCAGGATGCCTAGAGAGGTTGGCCCCCAGAATCCCCCAGCCCACCCCCGTGACCTTTGGTTCTGTTGTCATGTTTATTGGTTAATACTCAGGAGCGTTCTCGCCACCTAGTGGTCAGCGTGGTAAGTGCTCCTGTCTGTGCTGTATTTCTGCAGGTGGCTCAAAGTGTAGAGGGGAAATGTAGAAAACAAAAAGACTTCTTTTTTTAGTTCTGGGTCAGGAATCAAAGGTCTCAGAGAATGGGCCTTCTCGCTCCAGCATCCGTTGGCTTTAGGGCTAGCGTCCAATAAACATCTTTGACAACATGGCCTCTTCTGAAACATCCTCTTGTAATTTGTGTTTCCTTTCTCCTAGGCAATGCGCTGATAGAAGTTGGGGAATCCATGAAGCTCATGGCGGAGGTGAAGGATTCCCTGGATATTAACGTCAAGCAGACTTTCATCGACCCGCTTCAGTTGCTGCAAGATAAAGATCTGAAAGAGATTGGAGTAAGTCCTCGTGGCAGCAAATAGAATACATGCATTTAAACTGACGTAAGGCAGTACTACCGGCACTGCATGAAAAGCATCACTTCCTTGTGCCAAATAACAGGGTTAGGCTTTGTCTGGGTCAGCTGGGAGCCAGCTGTGGGAGTGGTTCACTCCGTGAGCTGTGGCAGTGGGCTGTGGGGGTGGGGACATCCTGGTCTGAGCCAGGTAGAAGCCAGCATCTTGTAGTTCCATCTGGGCCTCCCGTGTGGGTGCAGGCACCCAAGCACCTAGTGCATTAGCAGGTGCATCTGCAGGGTGCTCAATTGTAGGAACAACAACCGGAACACTAAATCAGTGCCCATATAGGATACTTGTCTTGGAGGCAGTGGCTTAGAAGAATACACAGTGGCAGGAATACAACTACTTGCGTCACCAACACAGCCTCCTGGAGTCTGCAGCCGCCGGAAGATGGAGTCAGGAGCCGGAGCCGGGACTCAAGCTTGCGTGCTATGATGCAGGGCAGGGCATCTAACGTGATGTTACTCAGAATCTCCTACTCTGCGTACAGTGACTTTGCCTAAACACTATGTGGATAGGATGTTGGACCAACCATGATCCTGTGCTCTGCATAACCGTTCATTCTGTCACCCATCCGTCTATCTGTGCACTCCTTCACTTCCCAGGGCGGGGAGTCCCCTGGGCAGCTGGAGAGCCACACACACGGCAGGAAGGGCAACACGGGTCCCTGCCTTCTGGAAGCTAAGCCGAGAAAAGCCAAAAGGGCAACCTTTGTAGGAGTAATCGAGAATCTTCATTGCTGTCTTCTGAACCTGACACTTATCCCGGGGACCCCCTTGTCTATTTTTTCGTTCTTTCCAGCACCACCTGAAAAAACTCGAAGGCCGCCGCCTGGATTATGATTATAAGAAGAAGCGAGTGGGGAAGATACCCGATGAAGAAGTCAGACAGGCGGTGGAGAAATTTGAGGAGTCCAAGGAGCTGGCTGAAAGAAGCATGTTCAACTTTTTAGAAAACGACGTGAGTATCCGAGGCAGGCGGGAGAACCTTAAGGCAGGTCACTAACAGCAGTCCTTGTGTGTGCAAAGACCATCTGAGGCCAGGCCTGGCAGGAAATGCTTCTAGAATTTTCTGGAACCATTATCTCCTGACTCCAGAGGTGGGTGGCTTTGGTCATCTAGCAAGTTCCCACTCAAGAGCCGAGATCTTGGGAAGCCCCCCGTTCGTGTTGGGATGGTTCCACAGTGGGTCAGGGTCTCCTGGGGTGCGGGGAGTGGTTGTCTGGAGACTTTAGGTTGGGTGGTCAGAGTTTTGCAGGGACTACAGTGAAGCCCAGGTCCCGGGGTGATGGACAGTTTTGCTAAGCCTAGGGATGGGGCAGGAAGTTGGCAGGGGAGCAGCCCTCTGAGCTTCCCCTCGTTGCTCAGTTCTGGGGTTGAGGGCGGGTGGGGCTCAGCATGTCAGCATGAGCCCTGAGGGCGGATTGTGGCCTCGGGGAGCTGCAAAGACCTGGGGGACACATCCCCCAGCACCATCAAGGTCCTTTGCACCATTTTTGACATGTCCCAGGGCTGGGGCTGCCACACCTGCCCCAGTTGTGTATGGAGCCCTTAGACAGTTTACCTTCAAAACAGAAGGTACTTTTGACTGCCCACGTGCCTGGGGAGGGTTCCACGGCAGCCTGGCCCTGCTTTGGCTTTGGACCCGTTTAGTAAGCCCTCCAGCCAGTGGGGAAGCCAGCAAGGGCCTCTGTGTATCCTCTGAACGGCTTCTACAAGATCACACTGGGAGGAAAGGGCAAGTGTGGGCCCAAACTATCGATGTCCAGTCGGCTTTCCCAGGCCAAGACCTTGGGCCACCCACAGTGAGAGTGATGGGGAAAGATCAAATGCCAGATGTACATGTGATGACTTAGCTACTCTCTGGAAGAGCCCAGAGCCAGATCCTACTGTTGGTTGTATGCCCTGATAGTAAGCATCAAGTGGGTGCCAGCCCACCCCCACCCCTAGTTACACCGTGAGATAGATCACTTCTCTGCCTGTGGTGGGGGAAGGGGGAGAGGGGTTATGAGGGTGATGGCTGCTACATTACTAAGTAATGGTTCTATCTATTTCCCCATCTGTTTTGGTAAAATCAGGACTGGGGGGGAGTGGAGGTCTCCCTGGGCCTGCACTGTTGCCGTGCTTCTCTTCTCAGGATTCAAACCTTGGCCATCACATCACTTCTTGCTTGGGACCAGTCGCTTCATGTTCTATTGGCAGGGATGCAAGCTGGGAAGCAGTAGTTGGGACATTTTTCTAGGGGTCCCAGAGAGCCTGGTCAAGATGGAGAGCTTTCTGCCAGGCCGGGTCAGGACCGGCTGGGTCCCCAGAGGCCCCCGAGGCAGCCCTCCTTTTGGAAAGGGGTCCCTGGGCCTGCCATGATTAACCAAGAAGTGAGAGTACCTGAGAGTCAGCAGGCTGGTTCTGACCTCTCGTTGCCACTTTCTGACCATGGTGAATCACCCACGGTCTTGTTAATCCTCTTTCCTTCTGCATCTTGTGCCTTGGCACTAGCCAGGTTATGCTTTGGACAGCAGCAGATGTCAGAGATACTGCCTTTAAAATCCAGAGGGGCCAAGCACCTGCAGGGGTCACCAACTCTCTCGGTCCAGAACCCTCAGCCTCTGGGAGGTCCCGCCAACTCCTGCTTCCGTCCAGGGGTTCCCAACACTTGTTGACTGATGAGTGGCCAGGTTCTTGAGTTACTCCTGTTGGCCAAGAGTAGCATTTTCCGGAAATTGTTCCATGGGTCGTTACTGTATGTGTAGTGTTGGATGTCTCCATGATATGAAGGTTGAGGACCCAGAGTCACACAGGGTTTCTTTATCATAAGACTCTTGGGAATGCTTCTGGGATCCCAGGAAAGATAAGTCTCTTGGACCTAGCAGTTTACCACGTTTACTGGATAACTGAGCTCTACTAGGCACTGTTGTTATCAGGGTTGGCATGTCACTGGGATGTGTGGGACAGGAGGCATCCCACAGTACTAGAAGAAGCTCCTGGCTCTGTGTTTGGAAGGACCCAACACTGACCTGAGGTGGATGGAGGATTTCCCTCTGTGTGTGTGTGTGTCTCTCTCCCTTTTTCTTTCTGTAACCCTGCCTTTCAAGTAAAATCTTTTTTAAAAAAAAAAAATGGAAGGGATTAGGGCCCATGCTGTTCATTTCCTGGCCTTGTCAGCCTGTCTCAGACATTCTGACGGAGATTCTGGCTCCCTTGGACCAACGGGCTGCACAGTTGATGAGATGTTATCCCCTGGCTTCTCCGAAAAACTCAAGAAGACTAGAGGTCTCTGATGTGGTGGAGCAGGAGATGACATGGAGCCTCACAACCTAGATCCATGATGCAATGATTTCCATCGCTGAGGAGAGGAACCTGTCTCCTTGCAAGGATGTGACTTCCCCAGTCCTCACTCACTGCACATCTTGGGCTTCTGGACAGGGCTCCCCCCACATCAGACCTGAGACTCACATCCCAGGTCTCTCCCTGCCCTGGGGTCCTGAGCGTGCCTCCCTCTGCCCGCTCATCTATCTGCTAATCAGTTGCCTGGTAAAGGGTATTGGGGGAGGCATCACAGCCCTGTTCCTTCTTCAGCTACCCATGTCCCCTCACCGAGAGTTGGCATTTTCTGAACTGTGCAGGCCTTTGGGAATCACCCAGGTCCTTTGCGATGGATCTGCAAGACCAGGTCAGTGACTTTGGCCCCACCCTAAGTGCTGGAGTTTTGCACAGCTCCAAGGAACTTCCAGTGCCTTGATCCACACACACACACACCCACACCCCAGAACTGGTTTCTTTTCCAGTATCCACAGCTCCATCCTATTAGCCTCCTGGGCTGTGAGATGCTTAGGCAGGCCGCTGAGATGCAATGAAATGAAATGGACCAGAACCGAGGCAGATGCTATGGGTGTGTGAGCTTTGCCTGCGTCTCCAAGGTTGATATACCACCAGCAGCCTTCTAGGCTGGTAACTGGCATGCAGTAGCACAGGAAAAACTCTGCACATAGATGCGACACAGGCTGTTAGATGATTACACATTCTGCACAGGAATGCCAGCTTGGAAGTTGCTGTGCCATGATGCCGGCCCACCCTCTCCGTGTCGATGTCCTTCTGGGAAGAGAATGAGGAGCCATGGTGTAGACTTGAGGCAGCCATGACCACCCATTCCCAGCCACCATAGGCTCTTTAACCCTGTAAGTAATGAGTCCCAGTGAGTCTCCAGGCAACAGCTTCCATCCCCAGTAAACAGCACTAATCCCATCTGGGAGATTGTGCTTGGTCTGAAAATGGACTCGGGCAGCCCTGTGGCTGCTATGACACATGACCCCAATGTGACTTTGAGTGACATGACTTCATTATCTTTGCAATCTGAAGATAGAGTCCACTAAAATTAAGTTTTTAATGGGGCTGTCTTTCTCCTGGAGGGGAAAATCCATGTCCATGCCTTTGCTATCTTGTAGACCGGTGGCTTCCCTGGGCATCCTTTTAGATTGCACAGTCTAGAATTCTTGCCACATCAGAGAGAACAGATTCCACCCCTTACCCTCCATGCCTTTGGAGACAGGGTCACACCGCTCCCTGTCACTGCTCCTTTGCAGATTATAGAACACTGAAGACGTTTCAGCGTTGGTCCCAATGCAGGATGAACTGATGTGACTAAAGACAGAGGTGTGCTGCGGGTAGCATTGTAGCAAGCAGGAGGTCTTTCCATAGTGAACTGAAACGTGCTCTTGCTGAGCCATGACGCTGGATCTATTTAAAAGCGTGTGTGACCGCCAAAGGGGCGAGACTAAAGAAATCCTCGGGGTTTTTCTGGGGCCAGACTGTCTTTGTTTGGTTTGTTGGGTTTTTGGAAATGTAAGGCTTTTTGCAGCCACAGAGGAGAGCAGGTGCGATGGGATTTTCCCAATCAGTTGTTGACCACAGCTTCGGAACTGGTGGCAATGCCATGTTTGTCCCCTAGGCCTCCTGAGCTCCTGTTTAACGTAGAGTGTGTGGGTGAGGGCAGTTAAAGAGCAGGCAACAACACGTGAGAATAGCTTACATTCTGGAAGGCAGCAGGTCTGTGATTGGTTCTGCCTTGGGGAGATCTTTGGATGAAGTTGGCCAACTTTGGTCCCCAAGCTGGATAGGCAATGAAGACAAGGCTGAGGCTTGAGAGAACATCTGGGATGAGGGACAGTGACATGGCTTGGTCCAAACCCGGGAGTGCATAGGATCCATCCTGGCGGTGGCTGAGGGGGTACCCCTTTAACACTCTGGGGTTCCCCAAAATAAGCGTAATGAATGCTTATTTCCTGTAGCAATTCCTGGGACATTCAGGGAGGGACGAAAACCACTCTGTCTCTCCCCTCACCCTCCACCTCTTGCCTCTCAGGAGATTGCGTTTTCTCAGCGGATGCAGTCCCAGGTCTGCTGTGTGTATGTGGGATTTGTCTTTGTGTTTGATTTTTTAACTTCTGGTGTACATTGGGCACTAGTTTTGTGAACGTCTCGATTCGTGGGAAAGAGAAATGCCAGTGTCTTCCAAGGTCATTCATTTAGGCTGTGTGTCTGGGGGAGACAGAGCAGCTGGTGTGTGTGTTCTTTTGCACTCGTCTCCCGCCCCCCGACCCCTCCCCACCCCTGGGGTCTTACTTGAGAACAAGTTCACGCATTCCTTGATTTGGCTTAGCTGAAAAATGTCTGTGGAGACTGCTCATATGGTAAGCGGCTCATTTCCTAAATGTTGATGGCACTTGTCATCAGAAAAGCTTTATCTGTCTGTCTGCAGGTAGATAAGCTTCTCTGGCATAAAACCTCCCAGGAATATCGTCTAATTGAAACAATGGGAGTTTTATTGCGTTAACATCAAATGCATAATCTCACACACACACACACACACACACACACACACCCCAGAACTGGTTTCTTTTCCAGTATCCACAGCTCCATCCTATTAGCCTCCTGGGCTGTGAGATGCTTAGGCAGGCCGCTGAGATGCAATGAAATGAAATGGACCAGAACCGAGGCACAGATGCTAAGGTTCCCAGCAACACTGGGTCTTTGTGGCTGGGCTCCCCCTCCCTGGACACTACATAAACTCCCAAGCCTCCATGGAGTAATTTTCCACTTGTGCTGCAGGTAGAGCAGGTCAACCAGCTGGCCGTGTTTGTCGAGGCAGCATTAGACTATCACAAACAGTCCACGGAGATCCTGCAGGAACTGCACACCAAGCTACAGATCCGGTAAAGACCCCTGAGCTTCCCCCACACCACAGGCTGCGGAGTCCTCACCGGCCTCTCTGCCCTCTGTCTCCCATCTCCACCTTCGCCAGACCGCCCCTCTCCTCTGATTCGAGGTTTTGTAAGCTGCCTTTCATGGGGGGTATGGGATGGGATGGAGAGAACAGAGGCAGGGTTTTAGCCCAAGGGACATCCCTGAGAAAAGGGAGTCATTGGCAGTTTTTCCGTGTTTGCTTTATACTAAAGCCCTCTTCGTGTGGCCTGACCCAGCTCCCTGGGGACGGAATGAGGGTCTAGGCCCCCACGGACAGCTGGGGGTGGCAATGATGTATCTAGGGGTGAAGGGAGAAGAGTTGAGATGATGCTCAGGAAATACATAAATGCCTGTTTTAAAAGAATGAAATTATCAGGCTGTTTTCTTAATATTGACTCTGAGTAACCATGGCAGAGTCCAAAGCACCTTGCCAACGATTAGAGAAATGATCGCCAACTTCCTGACAGCATGAAGGATAGTCGGTTCCTGAGTTTTTCTGAAAATTAGAAATATCATGTGTGGCATGCACATCAACCCTGGTGGTGAAAATATGCAGCTAAAATGCAAGGCCTAATTTTGGGGATCAGATTTGATCACAGAAGACTTCTGAAAGCAATGGCGCTGAAATTGAGGCCATAATTATAGAGAGGAGACTGAGGTTGTTTTCATGCCCGGGCAGCATCCCTTTCTGTAGACAGCTGCTTGTTCAGGCTCTCGCGTGTAGCATGTTTGAAGGCACTGCAGTGTGGGGTGTCCTCTATGTCTCAGTTCTTGCTGCCCATCCCAGCAGCTTGCGGATGCCTGGAGAACTCATCCTACTGAAATGAGTTCTGTTTAGAAGCTGAATTGTGGGCAGGCTCCATCCAGGCTGTTCCCTGTGTCACTGTGAGCTGCCCAAGAATCTGTGTGTGGAAGCCAGCACCTTCAGGCCCACCCCTGCACCTGAGTTGGGATGCTCATCACGGGGTAGTGTCGTGATGGTGAGTTTCTCCAACAGGTGCCTTGCTCATTTTACAATATGTGTTACAGAATATCTGCTGCGTCCAGCATCCCCCGACGGGAGTACCGGCCCCGGCCTGTGAAAAGGAGCTCAAGTGAGCTCAACGGAGTTTCTACCACGTCGATGGCCAAGACTTCTGGTAGGTTGATCCTTGCACGTGTACCTGTGTCTGTGAAATGTTTAGTTAGTGCTTGGGCCTGGATCTTTCAGTGGGACTATACCCAGACCCGGAATGTCTTTCTTTGGCTGCTTTGTGAATCCCTTCTGACTCCAACAACGCCCCTTCCTCCTATTTCCTGCTGTCGTTTACTTTGGCAAGAATCATCAAAATGTTCATGGAAAATGTGCATGACAATAAATATGCACAAATTCCAGTTTTTTTTTTTTAAATGTGTCCCTAGAAACGTACCTTTCCACACTCTTTTTGAAGTTCCCTGGTATATCAAACTTGGAAAGCCAGCCCCAGGACACATTCCATCCCTTCACGCAATGACGTCAAATGTGGCCATCAGTCCTTGGCCTCAGAACCAAGATTTCCACGTTGTTTTCTGTACTTGATTTTTTATACTCTTTCAAAAAGTTGTACTGTTTGTTTTCAGGTTTGAATTTACATTGGTTGAGCACTGCTAGGTAGGAGGCATTGTCTTAAATGCTGCGGCACTATTTTTGTACAACAAAGGACACAAAATATTCTTGAGTTCAATCATCAAAGTGAGAAAAACAATTCATCCTGGGATCTGCTGGGATCACCCCCTCTATCCATGTTCCCTCCCTGCATGTAGCCATTGTTAACAACTTGGTATTTATATTTGTCACATGTGTTTCTGTGCATTTATGAGGGGCCTTCAGAATGTCCAGGGAAACCACATATTGTGAAAATGCTTTCAAAAAAAACTCTTGCACTGAAATAAACTCATCTTTAGTTCCATTTATGGTGAATTTTTGGAGGTACCTTCTTAAAGACACGCAGTTTTAGATTTTCTGTTTGTTTTTTTTTTAATGTGAGATTAGTTCAGGCATATCATTCTACAGCTTCCCTTTTTGGATGTAGTATTATTTATTGAGGATTATTTCTGTGTGTACCATCTCCATTTTTTTTTAACAGTTTCATGGTTTTTCATTAGCATCCCTATGGGATACTAGTGTCACAGGTTTCAGATTTGCCCACCAGGCCACAGGTGCTGACTCCTCAAACCTTTTCTTAATACTTGGGTCTTTATCATGTGTATTTTATTTTTATAAATTAGGTTTCCGCACTTCAGAACAGCAGTACCATTTTACATTCCCGCCAGCAGTGTGTGAGTGAGCCGGTTTCCCCACATTCCTGTTGGCATATGTTGTTGTCACTGTATTTTATTTTAACCATCCTGTTAGATGTGTGGTGATATCCCAACTGTGGCTCTGACTTTTTTTTTTAGCATGTATTTATTTATTTGAAAGGCAGAACTACAGAGAGAGGGAGAGAGCAAGAGAGAGAGAGTGTGTGCGAGAGAGAGAGAGAGAGAGAGAGAGAGAGAGCGCTTCCCTCTACTGGTTCACACCCCAAATGGGCTCAGATGACTCGGCTGAACTTTTTAAAAACTGAACTTTTAAAAAAACTGAACTTTTTTTTAAAAAAAAGCTAGCAGCCAAGAGCTTGAGCTGGTCTCTTTGGAGCCCAAGGACTTGGACCATCTTCTGCTTTCCTGGGATGTTAGTTGGGAGCTGGCAAGAAAGTGGAACAGCTGGGATTTGAACCGGTGCCCATGTAGGAGTTATAGGTTATGCCCTAATATCGGCCCCTGTATTTTCTCAATAGATGTCTCTTGATATCTGTGTGGATTACAAACTAATATCCTCTCACTTGGTCACTTATTTTGTTGTTGTTGCTCTCTTAACAGGATCTTTCAAAGGTTCAAGGCTTAAGGATTTTGGTGAATCCTAGCTCATTGGTTTTTCCTGTGGTATATTGTGCCTTTGGTGATCCCTAAGCCTTCCTCGGCTGGCCTTGGATTCTAAGGATTTTCCCTGTTGAATCACTTTCCTAAAAGAAGGAGGCTTTGGTTGAAGCCTGCTTGTTTTGCCTGTGACTTTCCCAGTTCTCCCTGGCACACTCGGCTCACGCCCACTGCAGTCCTCCTTTCCATCCATCACAACTGCCAGCCTGTCAGGTGTTTTTCAATGGAAAGTCAAAATGGGCAGAGAAAAATGTGCCTGTAGAACTGTAATTTATGAAAAACTTCAGTCTGTCCTGCTCTTTGCTGGAAGTCTAACAACTCTTTTCCCGCATTCGTTCAATGCTGAATGTTATTCTTTTCCATCAAATGCGTATGTGACTCTGCCTTGATTTGTTTCGTTTTGTTTTTTCCATCTTGGGTAATGTCTGCTGATTGCCTGCCGTGGAGGATGAGGGTTTAGCTCTGGGTCTTCAGTCTCCTGCACCCGTGTGTTTGCCCTGCACCTTGCTGACTATTTCAATCTTGCCTGCCTGTCACCTCCACCTCTTTCCCAGTGATGTCACACACAATTGTCTCCACTCTGAATGAAAACAGGAGCAGATTTTCTGGGAACTTTTCACTTCACCAGAGTTCAGTAGACGCTCGACTTTGCCAGTGCAAGCTCCTGCAGCCTTCGAAATGCTAAGACCCAGGTCCACAGCCAGAGCCTCTATGTGTTGCTTTTTAATTTTTATTGGAAAGAGCAAATTTACAGAGAGAAGGATAGACACAGAGAAAGATCTTCCATCCGCTGGTTCACTCCCCAAAGGGCTATAAATTGCTAGGGCAGGGTCAGACCAAAGCCTGGGACCCCATCCTGGTTTTCTAAGTGATTGCCATGTGCCCAAGCCCCTGGGACGTCTTCCACTGTTTGTCTTGATGCGTTTAGCAAGGAGTTGGATCAGAAGCTGAGCAGCCAGAACTCAAAGTGGTTGGTCATGTAACATGTTGGCATTATCGATGGAACTTAATCCACTGTGACGAAACACAGGTACCATGGTTTCTTTAAAAAAAAAATCCCAAATGCAATTTACGATTAGTAAGATTTCCTCACTCATACATGGAGAGTATCCCAAGAGGCTGGGTCACCGTCATCCTTAAGCTCGCTCAGGTCTTCTGTCGCAGGCATAGGCTCCTGGTCACCTGACCTCCAAGTTGTTGCCCTAGCCAACAGGAAAATGAGGAAGAACAGATATGCCTGTGCTAGAAATTTCCAACAAAGTGGAAGCGATGTATTCACCTTGCCCTGGAGAGGGCTCACTGGAACAGCCACACGCCCTGGCAAAAAATGTTTGGAACATGCAATTTCTGCCTGAGCGGCGCCTGCCCTGTGACAATGGTAACTTACTTTGTCCATTGAGACTTCTGTAACAAGAAACCTTACATTGAATAATACAGTCCTGGAAATTCCAGGATCAAATTGCTGACAGATTCAGTGTCTGGTGAATAGGGCACCTCCTTGTCTTTTCCTCCCTGCAGCCCCGCAGGGCCTCTTTGATAAGCACACTGATCTGATTCTTCTGTACTAATGTCTTCAACACATCCTAAAGACACCTCCTAATGTTATGACAGCAGGAAGGGACTGAAGCCCTGCCAGCCATAGCTGATGGAAACGCCCTGCAGGTGCCAGTGTGTAACAGTGGTGGGACCACTGCCCTCCTTGATTCAGACAGGCTCCCTTGTGCTTCATTCTGCCTCTCAGCAGCCTTCCCCCTTCTTGAGCTGTGGCCTTGCGGATCTGTGCTCACTGCTGCTTGGGAGCCTGGAGGGCGCCTCAAGGTTTGGTCCATGCACCTGTTCTTGCTCTCACAATTTCATTCCTTCAAAGACTTCTGAACTGTCCTGGGCATGCAGGTCCTGCCTCTGTAATCACACTCAGGGTCTTACGATTGCCCTGTTTCTCTCGTTCCTTCATAAGTCCCATGGCTTTCTCTTTCAGGGCCAATGTGGAGACCATGGAAGCAACATATTTGAGTGAGAAGGCAGTGTCTTTTGTGTTTGCCACTCAGCTGGCTTTGTTTTTTTTTTTTTAATATTTATTTATTTGAAAGGCAGAGTTACTGTGAAAGGGAGGGAGGAAGAGAGAGAGATTTCCATGTGCTGTTTTTACTCCCCAGATAACCTCAGACCAAAGCTAGGAGCCAGGATCTTCATCCATGTCTCTCATATGAACAATAGGGAATCCAGCACTTAACTATCTCCCCCTGGTTTCTTGGAAAGGGAGTTGGATCAGGAGCAGAACAGCCAGGATACAAACATATACCCATAGAGGAGGGGCTGGCACGGCAAGTGGTAGCTTAACTGGCTGCACCACAATGACTGGCCAATGGTTTTTTTTTTTTTTTTTGGTTGGTTGTTTTATGGAGGACTCAGAACAATCTGGAACAGCCACTTGTTTATCTTCTATTCTTGGGGGATAGAAGCAGTTAGCTTTCCTTCTACGGCCAGACGTGCCCTCTGGTCATTCTCTAACCTCTTTACCTTCACTTGCACACATGGACTGTTCTTCTGTTTCTTTCATGGCTGGACGCCATCAGAGAGTTCCAAATATACACCAATGCGCTGGCTTTATCTAACTTCTTTCTTTAGAGCTGTTGGCAGGTGGTCTGGGTTCAGAGTTAGCAGAAGGATAAGTTGTACCAAATATTTTGCTGTAACCTGACAGGGGTCCCCAGCTTTCAGGCCTGTTGGATCCAGGTCCCTCTTCCTCACTGCTTCTCAATTTAGCTTATATTCTGAAAACACCCCACTTCTTGTGCTGGTCTCTGTATTAGTAGCTGCTGCTTCAGAGACACACAAGAAAGCAAAGATTCTAACAAGATAAAAATGAAGATTGGCCAGAGATGTGATTTTGTTTTGGATGATTTTTACTTGCTTTTTGTGAGGGAGGGAAGAAGAGAGGAGTGTGAGCCTTCTGTTCACTGTTTACTGCCCAGCTACTCTCAACAGTGAAGCTGGGATCCCAGAGTCCAGCCCAGGTCTGTCATGGGGTCAGCAGGGACCTAGTTATGTGTGGGCATTCCCCACTGCCTACCAGATCTGTATTATCAGGAAGCTGGAGTCAGGAAGTAGAGCTGGGAATTAAACCCGGGCACTCCGAGGTGGTTACAGGCATGTCAAATGCTAAACCACCTTCCCGCCCCCAGGGATTTATTCTTAAGGA